CAGAAAGTGAGAAATCACCCCCCAGGGGGATGGCCACACGGCAATCCCTTCTCCTTCATTCTTCTCTCGGGATCTTGGGCACGCACGCACACATGCCCGACGTGAGTTTAAGCCACCAGGTCTGGGACTTGAACTGCGGTTGGCTACATGGGAGTCCAGCGACATAGCTAACTGCTGGTCCCTTGATTTTAAATTTTAACAGTCTTATTTCATTGTTTTTTGAGAGTGACAGGCAGACAGGGTCTCATCATGCCGTGATCCCCACCCCTCAGCCTCCTGCCAGCCAGGGTCGTGGGCACACACGCTCCATGTGTTTCAGGTTGCCCTGGGATCTGAACTGTGGTCTTCTGTGTGGTTGCAGCATTGCAAAGCTGTGCTCTATAACCCAAGCTCGTAGGGCTGGGCCCTGCCATTCTTATTAACTATCACATTTTGGGATTTTTTTCCCCCTTGTCTTTTTCCTATATCTTGTAAGAATAGTCAAGAAATACCAACCAATACATGTGTCTGTATGCACACATAATTATTTTTTGTTAACATAACAATGCACTCTTTCTTATATTACAATAGTTCATGATAAATATGATTATCATCAGCTACTAAATATCCTGTCCTTGTCTGTTGACGATAACATGCATGATTTCTTCAACTGGACTGGTGTGAAGTGTATCCATGTTGGGTAAATTAATTTTACAAGCTGTAATAGATAGTGATTGAATGTATAAAATAAAATAATAAAAAATCAATTCCCCGTATAAAAGTTGTTTCGCTCACACCGCCTGTTTCTCCAAAAGTCGGATCTGGGGCCATGGTGTAGGGAGTTGGTTAGTGGAGCTTGGGCTAATTATAGCTTTCTGTGATATCTGGATTTTGTAGGACAAAACTGCTCAGTCTCAGAACAGTTTTAGCTAAAACATGTCAAAGAATGTGCCATTTTTGCTTAGATGAGGGAAGACTGGATATGGAGAATTTCTTTTTTTGGAGACTTTTGGAGTAAACTCTGAGTTTTTAGTGTATCATATAATTACAAATGAGACAAAATGTAAAAACAAAACTAAAAATGTCAGGTCCTTTCAAAAGAAAGTTATTTTATTATTATTATTATCTTAGGTTTTTGCCACAGAGTGCGTGCACTTGGCAGAGAGAGAGAAAGTGAGAGGGGAAGTGAGAAATCACACCCCAGGGAAGATGCCCGTGCCACAATCCTTTCTCTTCCATTCTCCTCTGGGGGTTCTGGACTGCATGCATGTGTGCCCAGAATGATTTCAAGATGTGAGTCTGGGACTAAAATTGTGCTCAACTATGTGGGAGTCCAGTGATTAACCACCATGACACCAACTGATTCCTTTAACAGTAATTTTTGTAGTATCTTAATTCCAATAACTTTGTGATAAACTAATCTTTTTGTTTCTTCTTATTATTATTTTTAGTTTTTGCTATAGGGTACGTACACTTGTTGAAGGGAGACAGAGACAAAGCAAAACTGAGAAATCACTCCCCAGAGAGATGGCCATGATGCGGTCTCTTCCCCTCCATTCTCCTCTTGGGATTTTGGGCACACAGGCACATGTGCCTGGCATGTTTCTCAGGCCACCAGGTCCAGACCTTGAACCATGCAGTCAACCATGTGGCATCTAGCGTCTTAACCTCAACATCACCTCTGGCCCAATATTTCTTCTTTTTTTTTTTTAAGTGTAATTCATTTCTTCCATAAAAGAGAGATACCTCTAATAGGTCCTTCAAACCACAATCCACCCCCAGTTTGAACCACCCCAAATCTGGGTATGTGTCTAAGTGTGCATTGTACAGAGGGAGGTCCCAGGACACGAACCCACGTTGTTCCAATCATGTTACCACTGCACCACTGCTGTGCCACCACCTCATCCCTAATCTTGAATATCTAATAAATGAATAAAAAATAATGGAACTTTTACATTAGAAATAGTTTCTTTTAGCTCTCAAGAGCATGTAACACAATAAAATAAATTATTTTTCATTAGCGTAGGGCCTTAATAATTGTGTCATAATTTCTCATGTGGTGTCTTAGTCTGTTTCTACTGCTATATCGAAAATGCCTTGGATTGGGTCATCGATTAGCCACATAGTGCTCACAGCTCTGAAGGCTAAGCCGTCAGGATCAAGGCCCAGCAGATCTGGTGTCTGGTGAGGGCTGTCTCTGTCACATCCTCACATAGTAGAAGGGGGTGGCTGCTGTGATCTCATGTGGCAGAATGAAAAGAGGGGATCACAGCTTACTCAGGCCTGCTTTATCAGGGCACGAATCCCATACGGGAGGAACTAATTACCTCCCAAAGGCCTTCCCTATTAATGCCACTACCCTGGGGATTAGGTTTTCAATGTGAGATTTGAAGGGACAGAAGCAATCAGACCGTAGCAAATGATTCTTGGATTGTTTGTCTTGAAGTTCTGACTATTTTAAACATGTCCAAAGACTGAATTTTCTCCTTGGGTATTTAAATTGAATTTCACTACATTAGTGCCTTCTGTTTAGCACTCATATGCAACTGAGGGAATTCGAGAGTCTTTCAAGCACAGTGGGACAAAATGTATCCGAGATCTTTAAGACCTTTATCTGCTTTACCTCAATTTGAACCTATGTATTTTTCCTGAAGAAGTAATTGACCAAGTATGTAAACATGACTGCACAGAATGCACCCTTGCTTATTTTATTTTATTTTTTTTTGGAGAGGTTTTTTTGCTACAAGGCGTGTGCGCTCGCCAGACAGACAGAGAGAGACAGAGAGATATAAAGCAGGAAATCACCCCCCAGGGGGGATGGCCACGCCGCAATTCCTTCTCCATTCTCCTCTCGGGATCTTGGGCACGCACGCACACGCGCCCGGCGTGAGTTTAAGCCACCGGGTCCGGGACTCGAACCGCGGTTGACTACGTGGGAGTCCACCGACATAGCCATTACGCTAACTGCTGGTCCCTGCACCCTTGCTTATTAAAGTGCAGTACTAGAAGCAACCTATTATATAACATTATTTGATATTTATAGTTAAATGCCAGTGAATGTCTACCAAATAGGATCATTTTTGTTTTTTCATTATTAAAATCAAGTCCTCCTTCCTTGTAATTGAAAGACATTGGCTACATTTGTCTCTTGAATCCACTCCTGGTTTGCTTATATTAAGCATTTAAAATTATATTTTACCTCCTCTTTGCTATGGCAGAGAAATAAGTCATTCATTTTAAAGTATCATTATGCTATTAAAATACAAATGAAAAAGAAGACTGTCTGAGCTACAGTTCTATTTTGTACTATTTAAAATTGTTATCTGGTCTGCTTAACCTGATTCTAGATATGGTATTGGAGTTCAGAAGTTGCAAGAACTTTAAAAGCTCAGGATTTCTATTAACCTTTCACTGGTAGAGCCACTTCAATTCCCCCTGTGGCCTGCTTGGCTCCCAGCCTCCGGGATCTCCAGCTCTCTAGCAGATAAGTTGCAGCCTCATTCCTTATGAGGGCCCCATGATCGTTCTGCACAGAAGCCAGAATTCAGGCTCTAAGGCCTAGTTTTTTATAGGACTCCCATGGCTATGGCCCAGATCTGTGAGACAGAACACCTAGTCTTCCCCAAGTACAGACAGATGGACATTCTCCAGGCCCCTGCCCTGCCCTTCTGTGGCCAGAATCCCTCACTTTTGGGGATCTGAGAGATCTCATACTGAGAGGATTAGTATCTTCCCTGTTTGCCTGATACCCCAGTTCGGGGGTCTACTTTCAGACGTGCCTTGAGGACTTGCCCTCACTTGGCAGGCATGTTTGAACCTTCATACTGGGTTGGATATCTGCCCAAACTTCACATGTCGATCTTGTCTGTGAAGGCCTGACCCTCCACCACCTCCAATGTTAGAGACTGCCCATGGAAGAAAACTGACACGAAGTCCTTGAGTTGGAAAATCCAATAAGCGAATTCACACCGGTGCAATTGGGATCGGGAGACTATAAGGAAGAAGAAAACGGAAAGATGAAGAGAGGGCATTGAGACCAAGTCTCCAACCCTGTGCCACATATAACTGTAGCTTGAAACCAAAAGCTGGTAGAAGCGCGATCAGGAGGGGAAATCATAAGTGGTGGAAACGCGATCTCTTGGGGAAGCCATTTAGTCACGGGAAGAATAATTCCACCCTCGTTGTCTTGGCATAGATTATGTGCAGCATTACTAACCTGCCCTTGATTAATGAACATAACCCATAAATAATGAACTGGAAACTACCAGGAAGGGGTATCATTGTTACCAATGCGAAGGGGATATTGCAGGCCCCAGCCCATTCGACGACCGGTGCAATTGGGATCGGGAGACTATAAGGAAGAAGAAAACGGAAAGATGAAGAGAGGGCATTGAGACCAAGTCTCCAACCCTGTGCCACATATAACTGTAGCTTGAAACCAAAAGCTGGTAGAAGCGCGATCAGGAGGGGAATCATAAGTGGTGGAAACGCGATCTCTTGGGGAAGCCATTTAGTCACAGGAAGAATAATTCCACCCTCGTTGTCTTGGCATAGATTATGTGCAGCATTACTAACCTGCCCTTGATTAATGAACATAACCCATAAATAATGAACTGGAAACTACCAGGAAGGGGTATCATTGTTACCAATGCGAAGGGGATATTGCAGGCCCCAGCCCATTCGACGTGTTGATACCTCCATTCATTCCTTCATTTAGCCAGTCAGCCATTCAACAATCACTGTCAAGACGCAGTCAGGGCCACTGCAGTCACAATGGTGAACAAGATAGATCCAGACCCTCCTCCACTGAGCTCTCAGCTTAGCATGGGAAACACTTCCCATCTGGGCTGACTGCTATGGGAGGAGGTCAGGGGCTAATGTGTGGATCAAAAGATACTTGTCCTGAGACCGAGGGATTAATTGGACTCAGCCAGAAGAAGAGGCTTAGCAATGGCATCTGCTGACTTAGTGACTGATCTGGCAAAGAGTGATGTTTGTTTCTTCTTTGAATTTCTTTCCAGGATGTTCAGTTCTTCTCCACCATGAATGAGTGTCACTATGATAAGCACATGGACTTTTTTTATAACAGGAGCAACACCGACACCGCCAATGAGTGGACAGGAACGAAGCTTGTGATCGTTTTGTGTGTGGGAACATTTTTCTGCCTGTTTATCTTTTTTTCAAATTCTCTGGTCATCGCAGCAGTGATCAAAAACAGAAAGTTCCATTTCCCCTTCTACTACCTGTTGGCTAACTTAGCTGCTGCAGATTTCTTTGCTGGAATTGCTTATGTATTCCTGATGTTTCACACTGGCCCCGTGTCCAAAACGTTGACGGTCAACCGCTGGTTTCTCCGCCAGGGGCTCCTGGACACGAGCTTGACCGCCTCCCTGACCAACTTGCTGGTTATCGCCGTGGAGAGGCACATGTCCATCATGAGGATGCGGGTTCACAGCAACCTGACCAAGAAGCGGGTGACCCTGCTCATTGCGCTCATCTGGGCCATCGCCATCTTCATGGGCGCGGTCCCCACGCTGGGCTGGAATTGCCTGTGTGACATCTCCGCCTGCTCCTCCCTGGCCCCCATTTACAGCAGGAGTTACCTCATTTTCTGGACCGTGTCCAACCTGCTGGCCTTCTTCATCATGGTCGTGGTATATCTGCGGATCTACATGTATGTCAAGAGGAAAACCAACGTCTTGTCTCCGCATACGAGTGGGTCCATCAGCCGCCGGAGGACGCCCATGAAGCTCATGAAGACGGTGATGACTGTCTTAGGTAAGGGGAGCCAAGGGAGCGTTGTCCTGTTTGTCTGGCGAGTCCTGATGGAGCCCCTGCAGTGTACAAGGCACTTAGTGGGCAGTAGGCAAGTGGCAGCAAACAGCACGGATATGAATCCACCCACTCAGAGCTTATGTCCTAATGGGGGAGGCACAGGACGTGTTCTAAGGGCGGTAAGCAAAACAAGTACAGTTTATAAAGTATGATGAGCCTTACATGGAAAACATAATGGGGGGATGCAGATAAAGAGAGCAGCTACAGTCTGCAGTTTAAAACGAAACAAAAAAACACTGGGAAGAACACCTAGGAGATGATTTTTAGGAAGAGACGTGAGGAAGTGAAGGAGCAGGCCTGTGGGGCTCTGGAGAAAAGTTGTTCTGGGGAGAAGATGCACCCAGCCCAAGACCCCCAAATGGCAAGGAGGCCAGGGGACTGGAGTGGAGTGAGGTAGGGGGAGGAGGAGGCGATTGGACCACTGATGGGGGCTCACTCATTATGAGGAGCCAGCAGTGAGGGAACTTGGGCTTTTCTGAGTGAGATGAGAAGCCACTGGGACATTTTGAACCAGGGAGCAATAGATCTGACTTACATTTCTTTAAAAGTTTACTTACTTCTTCCATGAGAGACAGAGCAGGCCCTTTGACAGGATGGACCCCCGCCCCAGCCAGCCACACCGCATACACACGCGTGTCCAGGGAGACCCTGAGATGTGAAGCCGAGACCCTCCCGTATGGCTCCAGCATCACAGAGCCCTGTGTTACCACTCTGCCCCCACAGCCGGCCCTGACTTATATTTTAATGGTATCTTTCTGGCTGCTGTTTTGAGAAAATGTTGCAATGGGGCAAGGGCAAAAGCAAGAAAATTGCTTAAGAGGTTATTTCAGTACTCAGGAGCAATAACAGCGGCCAGAGGGCAGTTGGAGGTGATGGTCAGATTCTGCATATTTTCTAAGGGTAGTATTGATACATTCCCCTGATTGGTAAAGCTGGACGAAAGGGGTGGGGGTGGGGGAGATGGGGAATGAAGCAGAGGGAGCAGGGGAGTAAGGTTGGGCATTTGGTTTCCGACAAGCTATGCTTAGAATCCTATTAGATACCCAGTGGGTGCCAGTCCCACTGTGCAGGCCGTGGGATCAGTGAACCAGGAATTCAGACTGTGGGTCTGGGCTGGACTTGAGAGTCCATGGGGGAAGCAGTGTTATCTCAAACCGCAGCCTGAATGAGCTCACCATGAAAGCCTGGGCAGATACAGAGAGGAGGACCCAGGAATGAGCCCCAGGTGTCCAGTGTGAGGAAGGTTAGAAGGTGGAGAGCCCCAGGAGGAGCAGCCAGAGCCTCTCAGTGGCCTGGAAGCCGAGGGAAGAAAGCATTGAGGAGAGGGAGTATTGGGGGCGTGAATACCCACCAGAGATGGAGAGAGACAAGCTCCTACTGGCTTTAGCGAAGTGGTGGCTTTCGTTGACCCTGAGACAATCAGATATGATAGCGCTGAGAGTCTGACCTGGGTACAGTTAAGGGAACAAAAGGAGTAGAGGTTTTAGGACAGTGAGTTTGAACCACCTGAGGAGCCTTGCTTATCCAGTGAGCCTTGCACCAAAAAGATGTGTCTGATATTATCTAACTTCCCTTTGGTTCATTTCCTCTGTAGTAGTTGGTCTCTTGTCCCCCAATTCCTGTCCTGGATTACGGTAGAATTTGTGATATGTGGGCAAACAAGAACTTCTGTGGTCCCATAGGCCCTGTTCTCTGAGACACAGAGGCCATTTCCCACCATGGGTGGTGACCGTTATTGAGAGAGTGCCTGGCGGGCCTCAGGGTGAAGGATGCAGCGTGCGCGTGCTGTGCAAACATTACGATGTCGCTAGATGCCGAAACTGCTGGGGAGAGGTCAGCAGACACACAGTACCATCGCTAAAATAATTTCCTACTGAGGGTTTATTTAGCAGTTGCTTATGTGGTGCTTAATATGTGCCAAGCATTGTCCTAAGTATTTTTACAAATATTAATTTATGTAACCCTCCCGGCAACCCTGTGAGATAGGTGCTATTACTCCCATTTGCCAGGTGAAGACACTGAGAGTGTAAGCAGCAGGCCTAGAGTCACTCGGTTACTAATGGAGGAACCAAGGTTCACGCTGCAGTTGGCCTCCAGCGACCACGTGTCTAACCCCACATGTGGCAGCTTGTATTGGTGTGTTTGGACTTGCACTGCTTTCTTCTTTGCCTCCTCTTCTGCTTTGACCACCTCATTCTTCTTTTAGTACCTTGACAAGAACATAGACAAGAATAAGATGGGGAGTTCACATGGATCAATATGAGAGGTTGATGTTTCAGTCAGTGAAGTTTCATATTTATGGGCAGCGTCAACGAACTATGCTACTGTCCCTGCTTGGCTTGTAGGCATAATAATTTGCTTGGCTATGTGTGCTATGTGTCTTGAGAATTACCTGCTGCTTAGAGAGAACCTGTACCTCGCAGCATGTTACATGTAGTAGACAGCACGAGTTAGAAAAGGCTCTGTAACCCTAAGTGAGAAGAACAGGACTCTGTGAGCTAGTCACGGTCACTACCTTCTGTGTCGTAGGTAACTGTCTGGCATGGTCTGGAAGGGTTGAAGATAAAGGAGAGCGGTCTGTGTGGTGTGGGCAGGTGTGGTGTTGGGGAAGAGAAAATCTGGAAATACAATAGTATTGCTGAGTAGGATAAGAGAAGTCGTGGGATTGAGACTGAACAACTTTGGGGAATTGGTTAATGGTGGGAAGACGGTGTGGTGTTGAGAAGCTGGAGAGGTTCCTCAGTGGTGAGACAGAAGAATCCAATGGAAGACAGGAACTTTGGGGACAGGGGAAATGAAACTGAAGAACTAAGTGGCATCATGACATTTTTAAGATTTCTTGCTCTTGGTTTCTTTGGATAACAGATGTGGGTTTTAGCTCCAATGTCTTCATTTTCTACAAAACTGATATGAAGCACATTGGCTCACCTCTTCTTAGTTCGATTTCCTCATCTAAGGTGAAATCGCTTTTTCCAGATTACAAACATGAGCAAACATGTTATAGCAGTAAGTAACCAAAGGCGGGGATGAAAAGGATCAGGTGTGAGTGAGGCAATGGGAGGGCAGAGGGGGTCTTGTGGAGCCGCAGCCACAGAGAGTTCTGCAGACCAACTGCACCAAGGCCCAGAGCCTCTTTCCATGACAGCCCCTACCGCAGTGTTCCTAGGGAGGAAGCTCCCAGTTGCCCTGTTTAATACACACCAGCATTCAGTTGCCTCAGACAAGTTTCTCCTAGATGATAGGATCTCAGAGAAATCAACAGTGCCCTGAGCCGTCATTGTAGTCGCTGGTTCTGTGTGTGGAGATGGCTGACATCATACTAATTTCTTTAAAGATTGAATGATTGAAATATCTTTATGATAAAATGCTATACCTTCCTCTCTACTCTTGATATTTATCTTGTAGGAAAAGTTCACTTAAGATTAAATCCTGGGACCAGTAGATGGCCATGGTGGTTAAGGTGTTAGACTCCCATGTGGCCAACTGTGGTTCGAGTCCTGGACCCCATGGCTTGAAAATCACGCTGGGTTCTTGTGCATGCATGTCTAAATCCCAGGAAGAGAATGGAGGAGAAGGGATTGCCACATGGCCATCCCCTCAGGAGGTGATTTCTCACTTTCCATCTCTCTGTCTCTAGTGAGCAACGTGCCTTATGACAAAAACTTGGGGAAAAAATTAAATCCTAGAATTTCTTCCAGATATTTTTCCTTTATGTTAGGAACTCAGTTGGTTAATGTATATGAACTGTCTACTCAATAGCACCTAAGAGGCAAATGGTTGCATGACTTCCACGAGCTTAATCTCTGAGGAGGAGGAGAGGATGGACAGGGGCTATAGAATTTGGGAAAGGCTTCTTAGAGGGGTTGGGGTATAATCTGGAAGGAGAGGGGGATTTGCATGGGAGGAGGAAAAGACTTCCTAAGTAGGGGAAATGATGTAACCTAAAGTGTGATGGCAGAAGCATCTTAAGCTTGCATATACTGTGAAGGAAGCCCCATGAAGCACAGATGCGTGCTGTGGTCCAGTAAACGAGAGCTCAGTGGTGGGCCAGAAAAGCTGGGTTGCCTTTTTCTCTTTGGAAGGAGAGAAGTAGACCAGATGACCTTAGTGTTCTTATCCAGCATTAGGATTTTAGCTAAACACAAAAGCATACAGAGTTGGATGGGAGTACTCGTTCCTTGAGGAGGATGGTGATGGTGATGGTAGTAGTGGTGGTGGTGAAGATGTTGGTTTAAGTCTTACATCTGTGCATGATTGGATAGGCATCTAGGCACTGTGTTCCCATCGCAGAGCCCTGAGGCACAGAGTTTGCTCACTTCTGGGTTAGGATGTATGATGGCCCTTTAAGGGAAGGAAGGTGCTTATTGAATGTTCTCATAGAAAAACACATTGGAGACATATGATCCTGCTTTCCAAAGGGCACCAAGGCCCTGCCTAAGAGACAGTTTTGAAATCCTACTTGTCAACAACTTAATCGTCTACAGCAACCAAATACTTAAGAAACCCTACATGGAAACCTCTCCTTTATTGTCAGACAACACACCACGTGAACTGTGCACACAAGGTTGTTCTGTTGTTTCCCAGAAAAATGGGCTGGGCTTTCTTCTGGCTTTCAATATCTTGAAATGCAAAAGGAAAGAGGGAGAATAGATTTATAAACCATACTTTGAATGTCTTCCATAAACCTTCCTATTTCCATAGGATGATTGCTTTGCAACTGTGGATTGTGACTCACTAATAAGATTGTAGCCAATCCTTTTTTTAATAACATAAAGTAGAAGAAGAGAAAATGTCAGAGTCCACTGCATTGTATAGGTACAAACATTATTTCATAATCTTCCTTGACATATGTATGTACTGGATTATGATGTAAAATATATTTCTTACTATGAGTTATGTCGAAGAATGAAAAGCCATGATCTTAGGGTCAGAGTTTCTTTCTT